CGTCGCATATAGTTATTAAAGTGATATATGCTCATATTGCGATCGCTGACGAAACGCAAGTGCGTCAACATAACAGCACCAGTGTTCATCACACAGGAAACGTAAGGTTTCAAACCCTACGCCGCAAGAGACTCGTTCGTAACTCAACATCCGATCCAACACTCTCAATTGGCGATGGCCGTCAGTGCCATGTTTGTGCGCACTTGCGCACGTTAACCAATGGATGTGCTGTCACCCACTAGAGTGTGACCGCCGTTTCATCTGTCATCTGTGTACCTACACCCTCATCCACACAGTGGCTATGGTGTGAACTGCTGCTACACCCCGCACAAGTCACACCCACGGGCCCGTGCACGCACACACCACTCATCCTTCATCCTTTATCCTCCATGTGTGTGGTTATCTTCTCCTGATCATCCTTCATCCTTCATTCTCCATGTGTATGTGGTTATCTTCTCCGGATCATCCTTCATCCTCCATCCTCCATGTGTGTGTGGTTATCTTCTCCTGTCTTTCCCCACAGACCTTTTCGCCCGATATCTTCAGTAAGTTCATGGGCGACAATGCGCTGTATGGCAATCTGGCGATGCAGTCTGTCAATGTGTTTGTCATTCTCTTCACCATCTATGCCATCGACAAATTCGGACGAATCACACTGCTGTGGACTGGTGGTCTAGGTATGTACTGTGCTTATGTGTTTTAAGGTTTTTAGGGTTTTAGGGTTTTCGGGTCTGTATGGCCTAATTCTGTGTGCATGTGTCTGTATTGTTTTGTTCTGTGTTTATGTATTTGTATTGCTTTGTTCTGTGTTTATGTAACTGTATTGTTTTGTTTTGTTCTGTGGTTATGTATCTGGATTGCTTTGTTCTGTATTTATGTGTCTGTATTGCTTTGTTCTCTGTTTTATGTATCTGTATTGCTTTGTTTTGTGTTTTATGTATCTGTATTGTTTTTTCTGTGGTTATGTATCTGAATTGCTTTGTTCTGTGGTTATGTGTCTGTATTGCTTTGTTCTGTGTTTATGTAGCTGTATTGTTTTGTTTTGATCTGTGGTAATGTATCTGGATTGCTTTGTTTTGTGTTTATGTATCTGTATTGCTTTGTTTTGTGTTTATGTGTGTGTATTATTTTATTCTGTGGTTATGCATCTGTATTGTTTTGTTCTGTGGCTATGTATCTGGATTGCTTTGTTCTGTGGTTATGTGTCTGTATTGTTTTGTTCTGTGGTTATGTGTCTGTATTGCTTTGTTCTGTGTTTATGTAGCTGTATTGTTTTGTTTTGTTCTGTGGTTATGTATCTGGATTGCTTTGTTCTGTATTTATGTGTCTGTATTGCTTTGTTCTCTGTTTTATGTATCTGTATTGCTTTGTTTTGTGTTTTATGTGTGTGTATTGTTTTGTTCTGTGGTTATGTGTCTGTATTGCTTTATTCTGTGTTTTATGTATCTGTATTGCTTTGTTCTGTGGTTATATATCTGGATTGTTTTGTTCTGTGGTTATGTATCCGGATTGCTTTGTTCTGTGGTTGTGTGTCTGGATTGCTTTGTTCTGTGTTTATGTATCTGTATTGTTTTGTTCTGTGTTTATGTATGTGTATTGCTTTGTTCTGTTTTCATGTTTTTGTATGGCCTTATTCTGTGTACATGTGTCTGTATTACTTTGTTCTGTGTACATGTGTCTGTATTGCTTTGTTCTGTGTACAAGTGTCTGTATTACTTTGTTCTGTGTTTATGTATCTGTATTGTTTTGTTCTGTGGTTATGTATCTGTATTGCTTTGTTCTGTATACATGTGTCTGTATTACTTTGTTTTGTGTTCTATGTAGGTATTCTGCGGCTTCATCGCTATAGGTCAGGTGTTTGTAGTCACATTAGTACCAGAGACTGGGGGGGAGCCGCTGGAAGACATGGATGAGCATGTACAGCACTTCAAAGCAGGCATGCAGCGACGTTCCTTGCTACCTATGATAAACAGACATACAGATGAAGTGAAGAGCGTGCAAGCGTCTGCATAGAAAGAGCAGACTGTGACAAGTGCCCAAAGTCTAATGTAAACGAAGCGAAATAAAATAGATCACAAGTGATGCCATCAGAGGCACGTTTAAACGGATTGGGAAGTGAACATTTTAATAGTTCTGCTTTGGTACACAAGTGCATTCTATAGTTACTAATAGACCAAAGTTGAGTGATTTTGAAAACTTATAAATGTTTTGTGGTGACTCTGTAGTGTACTCCCCAGGTTGTTGTCGGGGTAAATTTCAAAGGTAGATATCCATATTTCATAGCCAACTGATTGCTGTTCTGTGCATTACTATATGCATATCGAAGTACGTTTCATATATAAGCTTGCCAAGCTTCTAAAACATAGTCCGGAATACATATTCACATGAATATCAACAATACATAGTCCGGAAGATACGCGCGTTATTGAAATTTTATTAATATATGCGTCTTGCATTTGCCACATTTATTTAACGATTGATGAACCGGGTACAACCATTTCTCGCGCGACATTCTTGTTGGAGGGAGTTTAAACGGTATGCTGTACAGTTCTTTTACTACAATGTACTTTTCCAACCCCATGAATCCACATTTGCTGATAGGAGTATTCGCGGCGTTGGCTCTATGTTTTGAAATTAAGGCATCTCCACGAAAACACTGCAAAGCTCGGGGATCAAGGTGCTCGCTTGTGTAAATCAACAGGCGGATTGACTGTTCGTCAGATATCAGGCCATGAAACAGCGACGCAGCCCAACCCACATGTTCAGAGCGTTGAATATTATGTACACAAGTGATGTGGCTACACTGGATACGCCTTCTAGATAAGACCTATAAGTGAACCCAGTACTTGATATGTGCAGATAGGTTCACACGTCTCTAAAGTGGGTAAGCTAACACTTAATCTGAGAGATTAATGCTATTAATATTTAGTATAAATACATATAAACACATACATACATACCTTTAGGCATTTCCCATCCCGATGTTCTCATTACCCTCTCGTAGACAGCACCGTCATGTGCGCACCCTTCGGATCCGCACAGTGTGAACTGATAACTACGATCTAACGACACACACGCAAAAACATTTTGGCTCAGAAACTCTTTCCTGTTTCTAAAAAAACCCCCACAATATGTTGTTAAATATGAATATTTACAAGAACATAAATTGTTGTTTTATTTATATATATATATATATTTAAAAACAAGTTATGGAATAGAAATATTGTAATAGCCTTCTGAACGAAGATCTCGAAATAGTGTAAATACATCTCTGTACAAATACAATTTAGGAGGCTATGGAAATAGACATAAATATTTATTTTTTAAATAGCCTACTAAGTAAAACATAGGACTTGACACAAGAAGTTGTCGCATTCATAGATAGAATACCATTGTTATATTTTTAAAATAGGCTATGTTTATACAAATATACTTGTCTTTTTTTTATAATAAATATACAAATATCGTTATGTATCCGCACTTCTGTGGCCCGAGATTCTAGAAAGAGACTGAGACACGTCGCTTATTCTCTCAAAAAAAACCCCCTCCTGGCATTGTCGTAAATATAACTTCAGCTTCTTTTGTCCGGTGTTTCAATTTAGACGACGGCTATGTTTTCGGTACATATATTTTAAATTGTACAATTTAGGAGGCTATGATTAAATGTTTGTAAAATTATATAATGTCGCGAACTCGCGATATATAATAACTACATACCTCGGAATGTCGTTATTCCTAAATTTAATAAAGTAGCAGTTTCGCGGGACACTAAAAATACTCTACTAGATTCAAATAGTTGACACTTGATATCAGCTCGTATATATTTTACTTTTTGTTTGTATGTATCATTCTCATCATGTACTTGTGTATATATTACTATATTTACAATGATAAATAAATTATTGCAAATATTTCTACTACAATTATTACCAAAAAAACAAAAGGAACAGTTTGAAACTAAAGATTTACATATGAATACTCTATAGTCTATAGAGAATTAGAGATAGAACAACGCTTTAGAACAACGCTCATTGGCACACCGCAACAGAATTCTGGCGAGCAAATTGAGTCGAATTAATTGGCTATAAAAACCATAGTCGAGAAGTAATGTGCATTATGTATAATATATTCAATAATCTGGCACATGCACACAATGTCATAAAGGCCAAAGTTGCTCTATTTATTTCAATTGTTTCATGCATAGAAGAGAACTTAGATAATCACTCAAAAGTTAATGCTCCGTTGGCTGTGGTGAGGGCAAGACAGGCAAACCAGTATGCTGCTGCTTTGCAGTTGACCACGGTCGGTCTAAGACTGCAGTCTACCATTTACCATAGCCTCTAAATTAAAAGGCTATACATTTACTACAGGGGTGTGGAACAAAAGTTTGTTCATGTGCAGAAGCAAAAGAAGAAGAAAAATATCATACACAGGGCACACCTGAGGCGAATGCCAGACAGATAGAATCCTGAAATCCTAGTGAGACAAGGTAGGTTGCTGAAAACTAGACGCACATTTGTTGATCTGGTGTGCTCGTGTTATTGCGAACATGGAGAAGCCTAAAACTTTTGGATGTATGGCGTATATTGGTAAAACTTCGCGGCTGTAGCAAGGACTGGAAACCTTAAAGAAAACCTCGAAGTGTAAAGACACAGGCAAGGATAAAAAGGAACACATTGAGGTTTTGTGGAGTCATGATGCGTTTCGTGCAACAGGAAGTCTATTTGGGAATCTACAAACTAGAAAGAAATAAATGTGATCGTTACTATCGCGCCTGTATCTGATAATCAGCGTCATCGAATAGCCATATGTAGGGAGAGTGAGGGGAATGTGAGTGGAGTGAGAGGGAGTACTTAAAGTATTGCTACACTTTTGATTGGACCACCAAGGAATCTCGCTGACAAATCATAAGAAAGTACATACATACGACATCATCAGAGGACCTGAAAGCTTGGGTCCATTGATAGCTTGGGTTTATTGATAGCTTGTGGATTTACTGAGGCTAAATTCCTCTATAGTAACATGGCAATTGTCAACATCATCAGAGAACCTGAAAGCTTGGGTTCATTGATAGCTTGGGTTTACTGATGCTAATTATCCTCTATAGTAACATGGCAATTGTCAACATCCAAAACTCAATGCTAATACTCGGCACAGAACGTTCGCATTGGACAGATAAGCACTTAAATACAAGTGAAGTAGTGTGTACATTGCAGTCTGCTAGAACTGTAAGATATGTTTGTTCATGTCCTTCCCTGTGTAATGGTGTGTACACTATACAACAACCATCAAAGTATAAACAGACACTATACAATCACCATCAACATACACGATCACCATCTAAGTATAACAAGACTCCACACAAAACCAACAAGGTACAACCATCGAAGTTTAAACAAACCCTATACAAAAACCATCAAAGAATAAACAGGCCTTATACAATCACCAACACAAATCACGGTTTATATAAATATATACATATACATATATATGTTTATACATATACAT